CCCCTCCCCCCAATTACAATGACCAAGGGATTGGGAGGGTCATAACATGATAAACAAAATAGAAAAAAAAGTGTTTGCAGACATTCCAGGATCTCTGATCCAGAATAACCTTCACATATAATAGAAAAGTCATATGACCAATGATAACCTTATAAGAGCTTATATCTAATCTACCATGTATCCCTATTAAAAACATTTATATTTACTCTCAAACTGTGAATATCAAAATTTATCATTTAGGTCTTGCATCTAAGCTCAGAACTTTAATCAATAAATTTTACTTATTTCTTCCCTAGGATACAATTATATGAAAACCTTTTCTTCCTTCTAATTATCTTCCATTGTTCATAATTTTCATTTATTTCCTCACCTGAATGCCTCTCCTCTCTCTCGAACTGCATGTATTCAATTTCTACATGATTATTTGACCCTTCTCATCTGTTCTCATTATCACTCCCTAATTTGGAATTTTAAGTATGAAAAGTTTCACCAAAAAATAAAACACTCATAATAAATGCTAAATGGCTGAAAAGTTGTTAAAATATGTTTTCATGCAAAAGTGTCAGTTCTGCATCAAACTCTTGTGCCTCTGTGTCATATCTATTTTCTTCAAAAAATCTTGAGAACCCATTCACTTTGAATTATGTCTTGATCATATAAGATAAAATTATGCACAGTACATGAACACTTCATGACTGAAAATGTAAAATTAATAGATATAAAGGATAATTCCCCCCCCCATACTTTGAACATATTGGCAGCCTATCAAGTCAACAATGATTAAACAGTAAACTGTGACATACAACATATGATGAACATTTAACTGACTTACATCATATAATGTGAAAGCTATTTTTAAACTATATTTTGCTCCCATATATCTTAAAATGATGTTTGGCAATTTAGGCAACTTCATGACACCACCATCCATGAACTAATATTTGGTTATCCTATACTTTCCATGCAATCTTTCATTTTATAACTTTGTTAACCTTTATTTACTCCAATAACTGCACACCAGGGGTATGACCACCAGTACCCTATTGCTTCATTTACGGGTAAAGCCATCACAACTTTCAATATGTAAAAGATTAGGAAAGAATGGAAAAAAAGGCAATAGTCAAAAGAACAACATATAAACAAAACCTTTTAATTTCTGAAAAGTATTCATCCTTTTGAAAGGGTGGGCAGCAAACAATATAGCTAAGACCTCATTCAGAGATGTTATTACAGCACAATGATGCAGTGAACACAATGATTTAAAGATTTAAGATTTTAGATTTAGTTTTAATTCCATTTGTTACAATGGATATTCTTTGCTGTGACATACTGTCTGTTTTATTTCCTCACCTGAACATTGACATTGGATTAATAAATCCTATGTGTGGCATGTCTGTTTATTATTTGTTTCCTTAGTCATTTCACATCAAATTATGAAGGTAGTCTAAACTATCTATATAATAACTGGGATAATACTTAAATCCACTAAACTATTATTAGACAAAACCCTCCCTTCATACTTTTAGGATTTGCTGCAAATTTCTTCAGCCAGCTGTAAAACCTCAAACTTACCCTCTCACGATATGCTTGGTGACCTCGGGTCCTCCTTCTGGGGAGTCATGAACTTTGATCAAAATATACTTGAAGCGACCTGTGTCGATGTCCACATCTTCTACCTGATCCAATTTGGCGGAGGTCATCTTTGTTGATATCTGGCACAATCTTAAAAGAGGAAGAAATTATCAATTATACCAAAGATTGTTTCTCAAATGTTCAAAACTCAAATGGCTTTCTTTTATGTATGAAAATAATAATAATTCAGACATCTGGCACTCAAAATCATTTGTATATAACATTACTAAAATTACAAATAATACTTTATCTATATGGACTAGGCCTTAATAAATATTTCATACTATGAGGAAATTAAGTAAAACTGCTTGAAATTAATAAGCAAGATTTTCAAAAATGTCATTTGCAAATTTAGTTAATGTTGGTCTTGCTAAACCTCACATCTGATTGTTTACAATATTCCGCCCTACCTTTACTCAATAATCAATACTTCAAAGCCACTGAAACATATTCATTCAAATCAGAACCTTCCTCAAGGGAACAAACAAAAGCCATCAACTACATGTGACATTCACTATCTTAGACACTGCCTTGGCCCTGTGCCATTTCCTGAAGTGTTTTGAATATCTTTCGACCTTGGAAGACCTTGCAATGCTTATACTCCTAAAACCCTTAATATAGCAATTCTATGTCAAATATGTTATTTCTTCCTTATCATAATACTCAGGATTTGGTTAGATAGAAGAAACAGTATGGCTGACATCCACTGTGTAATTCGCTGGTTACCGAATACATACTGTCATCAGTTTCTTTTCCTCTTAATAAAGAATTCATCAATTCACCGTCATTACAAATTACAGATGCAAACAAAAAGCAAACAAAATAACTACACACCCGCCACTCCCGTCACAATGTAAAAGCACGTCCCCTCGGGAAGTCAGAATAACAATAAAAAATAGCTTTACAAAATACTCTCCCACTTCATGACACATTCTAAACAGCCCCCAACGCGAACACACAACACCCCATCAGTCAACCGCATCCTATCAGACCGGAATTTCCTCCTTCAGCAGACAAACCTTAAGGAAGCAGCAAGACGACGTGCCGGGACCCGAGTCAACAGCGGCCTCGAAAGCAACCCAAACATCACTCCCTCAGACCGCCGGGTTATTTGATTTTGCCGGCGAGACTGATTTTACATTTTCTGTTATTTGGGGGTATTAGGTTTATTTTTATATGTGGTGTGGTTTATTTCTGAAGTTGGTGAATTTGAGGTATAGGATTGTTTGGGTTGTTTTGCTTTTTTGTTATTAGATTTGCGAGGAAAATGTTCGAATTCTTTCTTTGGCTATCTAATAATTTGACATGCTTTCCTTGCATGCTTAAAATGATAATCACTGTGAGCTATGGGAGGGGTATTGTCAAATATGTGGAGAACTATTCGTGAGTAATATTTTAATTCTGAAAGGATTACCACCGGTCCTGTTGCAACATATAGTCCTTTTATTGCAAGTGTTAGTAAGATATATATACCCAGTCGGTAACGCATCATATATTGATTTCGCTTTCATTTTATATTTTCAGACTCGTAAAACAATGCGTCAAGAAAAAACCTGAAAAATAGAAATTTGGTCATCATGCCTCTCATGCGGGTATATTATGGCAATTGTAATGCATTATTTATTCACTCTTATGCATGGGCACATTCATACACACGTGTTTGCGTTAAAGTCTTTTGGCCTGAGACCAATAACCTTAGGAAACTGAATATTGGAATATCTCGCCAAATCATTAACCTTGCAATGCAATGTACATAAGGATTTTGAGGCATTCATAAATGTAATTAATTTGAGATGACGTGAACCATACATCTTGAAAACCGGTATTTCGTATAACAACACGTGAACATTTTAGTTTGCATGAAAAAGTCAACAAGATGTTCCAATAGATGAGTTTATTGAATCGTAAATTAGCATTTTGTGTGTATTTCTTTCCAGCCATTGTATGGATTCAGTGGAATGCTTTGTCATTTAATAAAAATGATCTTGTATTTCATAAACAGATAAATATCCAAATAAACATCACCAGCACGAATTCAATAGGGAAGGGGAGACACTAGAATACAGTCACAGGAGGGCCTCATATAACAGGTAGTGAGATTGGGATATGGCCTTCCCATTACAGACACCCCTGAAAATAAATACCCACTACGCTCACCTATACCCACGTTGACTGAATATAAGTTATTTATGGCTTACATACATGACAATTAGGTTTTGATTTTTTTTTTTTTTTTTTTTGCATAAGTTTGTTCATCTGTTTACAATGTATGCTGCAATTCTGTTTTTGCCTGTCTGGTGTCCTTGTCAGTTTTAGCACATGCTTATTTTAGACTTTTATGCCTTCCATTTTTCTTTTCTTTTTTTTACCTCTGGTTGTTACAATCATTATCATCACCATCATCAGCTATCATCCATCATAATCATTAATTTTCATTCTCCACTATTTGTTTGTTTCTCTGGTCATATGTCAATAAAACTACAAACAGAGATTGTGCAAATATATTTATTTAAAATCACTTGGCCATAACAGGCCAACTGGACGGCAAATTTCACAAGGCACAACTGCCACTTTATTTGTCTTAACAAACCTTTACTACACAGCACGCAAACCAGTACTTTATACCCTGATCACCCGAGAAATAATTTCTCGAAAAATGCTTTAGAAATACAACAGATCGCCATTGTAAATGGTCTTAAATGTATAATTTCAAAGATTCTTGTGATATGTCAGTGTCTACTGCACTGTGTTTACTGTGTTTACTGCACTTACAGGGCACTACATCCTTGTCCGACAACCATCTGTTTGGTTGATTTTACTTACAACTGAGAAAGTATGAGGTATTCTCATCAGCTAAAATGGGTGAGTGGGGTATGGTTAAGATGTACTTATCATGAAAGTAGTGCTATAAATCATTACACACAATATAAAATACATTATCCTTAACAGCTGTCTAATAAGTTCAATGGCTTTGTAATATTTTACATAAATGTTTGAGTCATCTATCAATTCTCAGTGAATATTACATAAAATAAGAAATATTTGAGTCCATAATTTACAAGAAGACAGCACTCCTTCAAAAGAAAAAAGGCAGATAAACAGAATTAATCTTTCTTTCCTTTTTTCATAGATAATAACGACATCAGGTGCTTTTCATTCATCTTCTCCAAACCTGAGATATGTATTAAAGTACATATTTTCAACAATTCAAGTGTGATTCTTGCATCATTTTACATTTGGCTTTTGTGGAGATATTTCCTGGAAGCTTCTTGTTCTGTATCTTGTGTTTTTGGCATTCAGATGCATACCAACTACTCAACATAATGTTTAGTTTCTTAAATACCCTTTGCTTAAACAGTGATACATGAAAGTGAATAAACCTACACTGAATGGTTTATATTCTTGTAACCTGCCAATCCATCAAAATTCACAGTGAGCAACAGTTCACATTCATGAACATATATATATATATATATTTATACCTAACAAACAATATAATAATTATTCTACTACACTATGGCAAAGGCATATCACTAAAGAATGGAACTTATGTCTCATATATGATACTCATACTTGTAGGAAGCTCTACACGATACAATAAATAAGATGTTTATATAACATTCTTTGACCTATTCTAAACATCTAACTTTGGTTCAAACACACAACCATAAAACAAATGAATGTTCAATACAGTCTACAACACAACACCATCCTTCATAATTTATAAAAAAAGGAACATTTCATGGGCTGCTGGTATTGTTTCAAGTCTTTCTATGCACAGAGAGCCCTTGTTCACAATAAAAGTTCAGGAAAATGTCTCCCTTTACACTGCTTTGTTTATCTTACTAAATGTAATAATTTTCTTCTTTTTCTTGACACACAAACAACAAATCATGTTAGGCACTACTTGTATATCAGATTTAAAAAGGTATGTGTATAATTATAGGTACTTATTAATGTAACCTCAAACCTTGATTTAAATCATTATGCAGCTTACATTGCAAGCTACTGTACCTTTTAAAAATTATTATGCAAGCATGGTCATCTCCTAATAACATATCCACAAATGTTAGATGCTTAAAGCTAATCTAACATACTGAACTACTTATTAACAACAACTTGATCTTACTTACTATAAAGCAACTTGCCTTTGTTGTAAAATCATATTTAAAATCTTGATTATTAGTCTAAAAATAAGATATGAAACATGTTAAATATACCCAAATCATGAGTATATCTAAAAGTAACAAAGACTATCTGTGCATGTAAAGAACAAACATAAACATAAACTGTAACATGGAAGAACAATAAATGGCAGCCCAAACAACTTTGTAGCAGCAATTATACAGAGAATTAGTTTGCCAATATTACATGACAACATTCTCATTACTGTACACATTTCCCAAGGACCCATGAGGTAAACCAGCATTTGGGAAACAAATTTTAGTAAACCTAAGATGAACCATGTTCATTGCAATAGATGTAGAAAGGGTGAAAAACATCTCTTGCACTGCAAAGATATTCATTCTCATTCATACCTTTATCAATTTCAGTAAATCCTTCATGTAAACAAATGGCAAGAATATGATTATGTATGTAAAAATGACAACTGAAATCTGAAACACAAAGTAAAGCAAGACTGACTTTTGACGCCAAGTTCGTATTTCTATTTCTATCTAAGTTCTACAGATGGAATTTCATGACACTGAGTCCGTCATATAGGACTTTCTTATCTTCAGCTTAAAAAGACGATACCATAATCATTAATAATTCTGGAAATCACTATTTCTAGATTACCCCTAAACGATTAAGAAGCACTCGTCATAGTAGTATACAGAAGAAACTGATAAATGAATCACCAACTTTTCTAGAATGTACATTATACAGCTAGATTTATCTTTTACACAAAGTTTGTCTATCATAGCAGAACCAGCTCTTAATGCTAGATCAATCTTTATTCGATACAAATGTAGCAAATATATACGTATATGTTACAAAGACATCCACATATTTGTCTAACTGTGGTGTATCAAATATTTCAGTCATATACAAAATTAAATATCTATCAATTTCACTTCCAAATATCTTGAAGCAGTTTCTAAAGGACTGCACACCATAGTACAATAAAGTTAACTATACTAAAGGCATTTTTCATAAAAGATCTTTGATCTGGTTATTACTGTCAAGGCAGAACAAATCAATTGCATTTTGAAGTCTCAAAATACTTCTTACTCTTAAATTTCAGCAAAATCTGAAGGATGATCATTTTCAGCAATATTTCTGTCTCAATTTACTGAAATATACATGTACATATATTTATACAAATAGTTGAACCTTGTTTAATGCTTTTACTTAAATAAGGCATGTTATATTTTCAGATGAAATTGTAAACTAATTATGTATTGAATTTAGATGTTGTCCCAACAAATGTAAGTGCTTTCTTATTGCAGAAAAAGCAAATAAGGAGACAACTTGAATTTTTTTTAGTAAAAATTATAGTTTTCAAGATACTAACCCGTGTTAAACAAGGTTCGACTGTATATATAAACATACACACAGTCAAATTTAGCACAGATCTTTCAACTTAAAGAAACATTTCCGTAAAACCATACATCATTGTACAAATCAAATAACGCCATTAGAAATCTCGTCTTTAAAATGAAAAACACAGAAGACAAATATAAAAGGAAATGCAAAGTCACTATTATACATACATTAAGATATTTATGGGAAAAAGAAAAAAGAAAGAGGAAAAGTCAAACTTACTTTAATCAGTGAAAGGAATTAATGCCTTTTATAATCTTTTCAGTAAATGTTCTTCTTTTCAGTAAATGTTCTACCTTTCAGTATATCAATCTCTCTAATTCTGAATTCACCAATCACATTCATAGGGAGACATCTATTTCAAGTGAGCACATTATTACTGTATATAGTTGCATAGAGAAAGTTGTAGTGGTAAGAAAATATTAGATTCTCTTCAATATCAGTCACTTTTCAAATTAACTACACTTTTCAAAACATCTCCAGGCCTTGCACTGAATCAGAGTCAATAAATGCACAGCTGTATTTCCTACTCAGATACTATTCAAACACTCTATGACCAAATTTGCAAGCACAAAAAAATAAAAAATAAAATAAAAAATAAAATGAAAATAAATTAAGAAATGGTAAAGAAGGTCAAGTGCATAAAAGGCATATGGCTTTTATCAATAAATGCACCAGCATGAGATCTGTTTCTTTAACTGATTGTACTAGAAAGATAATATCACCTCTTATGAACACCTCACAGAGATAAAAATAAGTAGTTCATAGAACAAACCAGAAACAAAAAAATAAGCACATTAACTATCATCTGAAAGCAAGATGAACATAATAATAATGTGCAAAGACCATTATAGTCATGTGTCAAATAACATATGTATGTGAGTAATACTAACTTGTATACCAGCGAACAGAGAGCATCCCATTATTACACAACCAATAAGGAACTGAGTTATGAAACAGATATTAGGAACCAAGCTTTAGGTAGACTAGATTGAAAGAATATTGTGAATGCATTTTGTGTATTGAAATATCATAATGAATTAAAGCATACATTTCAAATGGTGAATGACCAGGTAGCATTCATGTAAAACAAAATATGATGAAAGAATTAAAGTTCACCTGGTATTATCTTAATATGGGTGTCATTTTAAGTATGAAACAGCACACTCTACTAACGCCAAGGTCGAACTGTCTGACCATCTCTACTCTTCAGCTGCGATCTGGCAGTCTGACGCCCAGTGTTGATTGTTGAGGGTGTGGTGGTCATCGCAGGATCAGTAGGAGCTACGTAGTTTGGGATCCTTGAAGCTGCCTCCCACCAGTCTGATGCATCAGCCATGCTCAGAGGTGGAATGACTGTAACTGACACCTGTTGCGCTATCTCCTTTGCAGCGTCCTGAGTAAGAATACGCGAGGTGTCATCTGTGACTAGGGGAAAACCAAATTTATCTTTGGCTATGCGAAGACCTCCACTTAGCATGAAGATATTGCTATAACCACGATGTTGTAGTGTGGCAGCAACCTCAGGTGCCACATCTTCAGCATCATCATATACAACAATAATAAATTCTGAATGGTTTTTGTACATTAGGAGCTCTGGACATTCCCAACCAACAGCTCTGGACATGCGGGATGCAGGATGATTTACAGAAGTTACTAAATGTGACTCTTGATAATCTTGAGAAGGACGAATGTCTATGATCACATATGGGCACTCTGGTGGCTTAGGTCTCCCTTCCATCTGAAAAAAGGTGAAAGAGGAGGAAAATATTAGGATATATATATATATTATATATATATATATATATATATATATATATATATATATATATATAAACCCTGTGGACTATAACAATTCATTTTACAGGCTATTTCTCAAGACATAGTGCCTATATTAAGCATTTCTTTACAAAAAAAAAAATAAAAAAAAAAAAAAAAAAAAAAAAAAAAAATAATAAAAAAGAATTCTCAATCTAAGGTTCTTCCTGACGTAATGAGTGAAAACAAAAAAAACTGCATGAAATGGGGGGGGGGGGGGATCTGACTGACAAACATTTAAATCACATCTTAAATCATTACCTCAAGTTCTGTCATTTTATGAAGAACATTTTCCACTTCATCTCTGTATTTTAAGGGTACCTCTGCTGTCTCTTGCTCCTTTTCTATATTCTGGTTATCACATTCTGCAGCTTCAACATCTTCTGCATGGGCAAGCATCAGCTGCAGGAGATCAGCCAGGGAAATGCGACGATAAACCTCATCATTTCTGACCTGCATCAATTAATCTATATTACTTCCCTCATGGTTTGATATAAAGGTAGAAATATAAATGTAAAGTTTGTGCTTGGGGTGGGGTTGGATAGGGTGCATTTTTTCTTATACAGATCCAAAAAATCATACGTAAAATAATTATTATTTGACCTTCAAGTTCTAAAGACTCATCTATCTAGTATATTGGATTGATAGAGAACAAAATCAATAAAATAATCCTTCTTATGGAAACAGTTTGCCATTACTATAAAATAGGTAAACGATAAATAATATGACGTAAAACATTCCAGCTGCTATGCTGTTTTCTTTTCCTTGTATAGTAAATATGTATAAAAATGCATGCTGATATTAATATAAATATTCTAAAAAGATAGAAATTGTATGCTTTTCTATTTTTTCATGATATTAAGATACATCAATGATCAAACAAGTAATTTATATCTTTATTGTCATACAAGTTTGAGGACAACAACTCAAAAGACTTATGTTCTTAATGAATACTACATCTCAGTGGTTCCTACCTTATAGGAATTATGTGCTCACTCTGCTACTAATAAACATATACCTCCACTGACACCAAGGAGTAATTTATCTTATGAGAGAAATCTTTAAATGTATCAGCTGTTTCTTGCTTCAGTTAGTCTTCCCTCAAAACTTTTGAACATTTTGAAAACTTTTGTCAAGGGGGAGAAGGCATGTATGCAGAAGGTGCATCATCATCAAAAACAAACAAACAAACAAACGCACACACACACACAGAGGAACGACTAGTCTTAAGCCTTTGAATAGCCATTTGTTTAGACCAAACAGTTTTGTTTTGTGCAAGCTAGTAGTATATATATCTTAGTAAAAAAAATATTTACCTTGTAATATTTGCGAATTTCTAGTTCAAGTTCTTGACGTCTCTGTGTATTGAAGCCAGTGTTGGTGCGTGGACGAACTCCAGAATAACGAGGGTTGGTTTTTATCCTTTTATTAAGGATTTCTCGGTCACTGATAGAATATTTCTTTAGTGTATTCACTGTGCCGGTATTGGAAACCACAAATTTCCTGGAATGCATTCTCTGAAAAACAAATATCTATTCAGTTAACTGCTAAAAAAATGCTATATCCAATGGCCTTTGTTATACTGTAGACCAGAAATAATAACTCTAAACTGTGAAAAAGGAAAACTATATCATAAAAAGCCTAAAAAGCCAGTGGATGTAAAATAACTGAGAGAAAAGAAAAGAAATGGTGAAAAATTCCACTGCATAAAACTCACCCCTTTCTATCCTATAATCTATATTACAGCTATCAACTTATCATTTGTAGCTTTATACCAGGAAACTTTACCCTAGCAAACCTATTTCTCAGTGTGTATACATACACTTGGCAACTGATACTATACCAAAGACTATTCATTTCTGCCATTCTGTTACCAGTTTTCAAAGGAACATTAGTCAACTGTAAGACTAACTGAAAAATTGTACACGGTATCTTCATGTTGAAGGAATTTAAAAAAGAAGGCAAAAGACATCCATACATCAGTATACTAAGAAATAACAAAGCAAGTCGGTATTGCAGATGACAAATCTTTCTTCACTGGGCAAATCTGGAATAAAGAGCTTATTATCTTAGAACATACAAAAAAATATGTAAACTGATATAATATATAAAAAACAATTGGCAAATTTACAAGAAGGAAGTTCGTGGAAACAGAATAGCGAGGTTTAATTTGATTCAATTTTCGTTTGGAGTTTGGTTAGCCTGGGTTAGGATAGGTTAGCTTTAAATTAAATTGCAGTGAAAGAAATGCTAACTGAAATAGGGAACAAAGATGGAAAAAAGCTCTTTCCAATGGATCCTGGTCATGGGCATTGCAAGAAACCTCTCAGGATGTAGAATGTCAAATTAATGCTCATAGCTGTCACTTCAAAATCTATTTCTCACTGGACTAAAAACTGTAACTGCAATGAAACTGTATTTAAAGAAGACCACTTGCACTTCCCTTTCTCAAAGGAAGATTAAGATTCACAATGTCCAGATTTAACATACAAACTACCGTGAAAAAGAAAGAGAAAAAATATAAAGCGCCTAAATTTTATTTGGTACATAAAAAGGACATCTTCACTCCTGTATGGTATCACACACCATCGATAGAAGCAAATAAAGCAATTTGAAAACAAATATATGTATATATAAAAAAACAAAAATAAAATAGCTGAATAGACACTCTGGTATTCTCATAAAACAGCCTTTCTAAACAATACATAACTATTCGCCTCTTAACTGCCTATGATGGATTAGTCATACATCGCATGACACTAAACTAGGCCCTTTGTGCCGATTAATCCATGGCACAGCACTCATGCAACTGGCTAGGCCTTGTTCGGCTAGGTTAAGTTAGGGTAGATTATTTAGAATAAGCTTAGAATAAGCCCTTGGAGAATATGATAGGGTTTGGGTGAGAGAAATATATGCTGTATTTATGAACAAAAATATGTATATATGAATAAAGCCACAGAAGTATTCAAATGTTTAATTTCTTCTCTTGTATTTCAATACGAATCAAGAGGAGATTATAGAAATCAATTAATGGTTATAGCTAGTTTACTGTTTTTTAAATTCTATTCGCATTCATCTGTCATCTCAGAGAGCAAATGTTATTACTACGAGTAATAATGACAATTATATCTCGAATCGGACGCTAGGTATTCTAAAATGCAATAACATCCCATAGCATTGCGATAATGTAATGTGAGCAAGAAGGAAAGTCAAAAAGTGTTCAAATGTCACTGCGGTATCGTTAATGTCACTGCCTCCTCTGACACTCGCAACTCACCTGCGAACCAAATCGATCAACATTAGCATATTACACGCACCTCGTTCCCTTCTACTCTCTCTCTATCCTCGTCCTCACTTCAGAACACACTCATAAACCTTGATACCCAACCCTAGCCCCAACTGTAGCCTAGGAGTGCCACAAATCGCCCGGAAAACATACCAGCGCAGAAGACCCCTGCAGTGCCACCGTCCGTCCGCTCGGCCTGTTGTTTACCTTAATAATTCACTCCCGGCGGCGGCGACGAGGTCAGGCAGCCAGCCTTCGCCTCTCATCCCGCGCGGCGACTCTGTAGGTGGCATCGCTGGGGGGGAAAAGCCTCCGGGATATTGATGGTTTTAGGCTGTTTAGATGTATGTGATGTATTTATTGGTTTATTTTCCGATAATTAACGGTTTGGCTACTGGATGCTTTTCACCTGCTTGGCAACACAGGTGAAAAGCCTGCGCATATGCATGTATTGTGTGTGTGTGTGTGTGATGTGTGTGTGTGTGTGTGTGATGTGTGATGTGTGTGTGTGTGTGTGTGTGTGTGTGTGTGTGTGTGTGTGTGTGTGTGGTGTGTGTGTGTGTGTGTGTGTGTGTGTGTGTGTGTGTGTGTGTGTGTGTGTGTGTGTGTGTGTGTGTGTGCGTGCGCGTGTTGATAGCCTGAGATTAATAGATCGTGGGCATTTTTGTACGCTTGATTTATTTTTCAATGCGTATCGGAGGTCATACTACATGGCACCGCAGGCCTTCCCTTCCCGCCAAGGAGGGGGAATGGCAGGTGTACACGGCATAGCAGGTGAAAAAAAAAACTCCCACCTGTGATGGATGTCCACGCAAATGATCGATTTAAAGATAATTATACTAATTCTTCATACACTGAGACACTTCATTGATTTGGGAATAGCTTATGGTGATTATTCTTTACAGTTTTAACACTTCCATAAGATTACATATTATTCGAAAATTTCCTTATATATTTCTTTTTTTCTGAATATGAATCTCACACTAGACAAAAAAAAAAAAAAAATCGTAGGATGCACCAGCGGCAAATAAAACAGGAATTGCCGGATTAATCTACATCCTACATATAAGACTATCAGATCACCGACCTCTGTAGAAGTGACAAAACGACCTCATCCTATTAGCCAGGTCAGCCCGCCAGTCGATATCTCACCTGGAAGAGTTACATGCGAGCCGCCCTTATCACGAGACCAGGTCGTTGGATCGAGTTCGTTGCTTTAGGTGGTTGGGAGGAGAAGCTGACTTGTAGATACTACTTCCTTGTACATTTTAACAGTTCGAAATGTCTGGCTCTGAGCTTAGAGAGAAGGACTAGGGTCATGTGCCATACGGGAAGCATACACACAGTGTATGTATATATAAGAATGTGTATCTATATGTACAGTATATGTGGATTTAGACACATACATATATACATAAATATACATATATATATATATTATATATATTATATATATATATATATAATTATATATATATATATACATATAATATATACAACACACACACACACACACACACACATATATATAATATATATATATATATATATATATATATATATATATATACGTATATATATATATATATATATATATATATATATATATATATATATATATATATATATATATATATGAATAAACAAAAATGCACGCAGAAAAGGTCTATATAGACGCGCGCACACCCATGCGCACAAGGTGTATAAACGTGTTTCTATTAGAGATGTGCTTGCGTTTACACGTGTACTGTACAGAGTCTTGAAATTGCTAATGTGATTTCGTGGCGGCTGCTCTGAGGAAATAAAAACTTCAAAGGCGTACTTTTCGGACTTCCAGTGTACCCACAACCGATACAAATTATACCTTAATATTCTCTCCCTCTCTCTCTCTCTCATTCTGCTTTTTACAAAGTCGCAAGGAACGCAAGACATTTTAAAATTCGGATATCAACCTTAATCGAGACTGATTTATTTTACCAGATGTTTATCAGTGAGATAACAGCGATTCTTCTTATTAATTTTGTATTTAAAAGTATCTGTTAAAATTACTCCTAGATAGCAAATTTCTTTACCAGTTTCTACACCACATAATATTAGGTTTTGGCGGTCAAAAATTTCAGCATTATCCAATATTTCCGTAACTCAAAAGTCATGATTTTTCACTGGCTGCCTAAAACCCTTTCGACCATTTCTGTTAGCTCATTCACCGATCCTGCAATGAGAAAAACATCATCTGCATATCATAGCTTTGTTGCACGTCTACCTCCTACTGTGATGGTACCTTCAAAGTTGACAAGCGCTGTTATTTGTTCTACATCGATGTGAAAAAGGTGTGGGGATAGAATGTATCCTTATTTGACAACTCGGATTGTTTTGAAGTATGAAAGTCTATATGTTTTCACATATTTTTATTGAGCAGTGAAGTTCTTTTATAAGCTGTGTAATATGTTTTGGAAAACCCGTATCACACATTATTTTCATAATGTGCCTTGGCCTACTGTGTTGAATACTTTTCGACGGTTATTAAAGCATAAATTGACATTTTTCTATGTCGTACTATAAGCAAGGTTGACACCTCTTTTATTTTCTGATATTTTTTTCCAATTATCAATCTTAAGTTTAGGATTTGATCACGAGTGGCTTTTCCCGGTCTAAATCCATTTGTTTATTTGAAATCTCCACATAATTTTTATGTCAGTCGTTTAGCAATTATATTCAAG